ACCTAGCCTAACTGCTAACTTAGACAGCTTTATAGAGAATGAGATGTGGTGTTACAGCTCATGAGCAAGGGCTTAGCATGAAGGAATTTTTTTTCTCAGACCTGTGAAGAGTGATAGGATACATAAGATACAGTTGACAGACAATCTTCAAGTTGTCAAAGGTTTTAGGGGTTTTTGTTTGTTTGTTTTTTGTTTTGTTGTTGTTGTTGTTGTTTTGTCTCAAAATGCTGTTTCACAACTCCAAAGCCTAGACTGGCATGGGATTTACTCAGTCTCTTGGTGAATGGTTCCCTCTCACCCCCCAATGATTCCCCTCACCCCAAATGTATCCCTAACTAATAGTTGGATTAAGTAGAAAAATTAGCTGTTTTGCTAGTTTATTAGAAAAACTATATTTGTTTGATTCAGTTCCGTGGTTTCAAAGGCCAGAAGTACTAAAACACTAATGCATTTGTCTTTTTTCTTTTTAGGTTTTGCCGAGACAGAATCATCTCCAAGGTATGAGATAGTATACTACTCCCCAATTTGTTGGCTAAATTTGGAATGATAGAGTTGCCTTTGGAGGCATTTTTTTTCTGTTTGTGGTGAATGTGATACTAAGATGGTAGCCAGAAGAGGGTCTGGCTTCTGTTGTTGGTGATGGTGATTAGAACATCCTACAAATTTAAGATGGCTGGATCAGACCAGAAGGGAGAGATGGGCAGAGGAAGGGAGGGAGGGAGGAAGGCTTTCTTGCTTGATTAGCTCTTTTATGAGATAGCAGACTTTTTGTCTCTGATATTCAAAGGCAGAAGACAGCTTCTTTGTGAGCCAAAGAGGCAGGGCCCCACACCTCCACTGAAGCCTATTTTGGAAAAATGAAAAAGCAGAAGCCCCTCCACATAGCCCTGACTCCTTAGCTGCATGAGGTCTCCTGTCCAACTCCGCAGGACCACATTAGCCAAGTTGTTTAACTTCCAAAAGTCTTCCTAAGAACATGCTATTGCGGATGTACTAATCATATTATGGAAGACAATAGGAACCCCTTTTGATTCCGTTACAGAATTGGGTGGAGAGGATGTGTACCATCTGGTTTGCAAAGGCAGGAGTCGGTTTTTCAAAAGGGCACACATCCAAGTTCTGTTTAATGCTCGTCAGAAGGAAGAGGCATAAGCAGCTCTGTTTATAATGAGATCGGCGCTGAAGCTAATAAGATGGGGTGTGTTTCCAGTGCTCGACGCTTCTCTGAAGCTCCGTGTATTTGCAGTACATTTGGCCGCCTTGTCTTAGGTGGAGGCTGGGCTTCCAATTGAAAAATTTAAAGCTCTCCATGTGTTAATTGGAAAATAGAGGCGTCTTTGCTGTAGAGCATCTGGCTTCCTAGGTATTAATTATGGCTCCGTCTACACATAGAAACTAGTATTTTTAATGTCTTCTTGTATTCACCAAGTTACTTTTAGAAAGTGTTAAGTTTACAGATCACAGGGGAACAAAGGAAGTTAAACTCTACTAGGTATTGGGTGCTTTTTAAAAATATCTTTTGTGTTAGGTGTGGTAGCACCTGCTTGTATTCACAATTGTTTTTTTTTTCTTTTTCTTTTAACTACTGTTGTATCCTTTGAAATTTTCATACAATATGTTTTAGTTTATCCTTTCTTGTCCCCCAACTCCTCTCAAGCTCTCCCTACCCACTCAACTTCATGTTTTTTCTCTCCCTTTAAAAACAAGATTTAAAAAAGGAAGAATGAAAAAGAGCTAACACACACACACACCACACACACACACACACACACACACACACACACACACACACACCACACACACACACACACACACACACACACACACACACCAAAACAACAACAACAAGAAAACAATTGAAATGTCAAATTTGAACTGGCCAAATCTGAGCTGGCCAGCTGCTCTTGAACATGCGTCCTGCTCTAGAGTGGGGTGGATATCTCCAGTGTCACTCCACTGGAGAAAACTGATTTTCTTTTCCCAGCACCTATTGTTTGCAAATAGCTTCTCAGGTAGGGGTGGGACTTTGTCCCCACATCCCCTCCTCCATGCTGGGATTTTGTGTGGCTTGAGCTTGTACAGGCCATGTGCATGCTGTCACAGTCTCTCTGAGTTCACGCGTATCAGCCCTATTCTGTCTAGAAAATATTGTTTCTTTAAAATCTTCTATCACCTCTGGCTGTTTCTACCCCATCTTTTGCGTAGATACCAGAACCTGGAAGCTAGACCTTTTTATCCACTGCACTCAGGAGGTAGCAGGAGATTCAAGGATAGCCTGGGCTACACAGCAAGGCCTAATCAAAGATACAGATAGATAGTGAAAAGTCTTTTAGAAGTAGTCAGAGTCTATAGCAATAAATAGCAATAAAACAGGAAGAAAATGGTAGGCTTCCTATTGCTAAACTTCATTGAATCCTTTAAAAAAAAAAGTTTTCATTTAAATAATGGAGGCCTAGAGTGCAACCATTTCCCTGTCCTGAGATCTAACCAGGGCTGCTTGGTGGTCACATGACCTTTGCTTCCTCCAGACATTTTAAAATCTTCAGCAGTAGCAAACACAACTTGGGAAGCTATGGTGCCCCCCAGTAACTGGAGGCTGCTTCTGCATGTGTCCCACAAGTCCAGCTCACACTGATGCAGGAAACACGATCCCATGACACACAATCTCACTGAAGGTAATTACAGCCTTCACCATCAATCCAACTAAACAGGGTAACCAGCTCTAGGGAGCCAGAAGCAGCCTTAGCTTTCTGACTAAATCCAGGATTTGAGATAAGGGTATGAGTGTGGATTTTAAGAATTTTCATGTGTTGAAATACTGTTGCTCATGAAAATAGATAATATTGAGAAAGTAGGTGAGTGGGAAGAGATAATTACAAATAATTGCAGACTTTTCAGTTTTGCATCTAATGGGCAACCTCTCGTGTTTAAACAGTGAGCGCGTCTGCTGTTGAGCACCCTCGCTCTGGGCTCCCTTCTGCTGATTTCCCGTGCAGCTTCAATGGTGCTTCTTCAAGTGCCTTTTATTCTCTGCATTATAATCCCTGCTTCTCTGCGTGCTTCTGCAGAGTGCCTAGGACTCCTGAAGGCTACTCCACTGTGGTGTTAGAGCCTCTGGGGCTGTGGCAAATACCCAAGAGAGACAACTTAAGAGAAGAAAGAAGGGTCATTTCAGTCTGGGCTTTTAGATCATCAGAGTATGACAGCTCACATTCAGGTGCCCAAGAGAGAAATGTGGGGGTGGAGACAGCCACTTTCTCCTTTTCCCACATTCCACCTGGGCTCCCAGCCTATGGGAGGATGTCCTCTTAGTCAGTCTTCCAGGAAAGCCCTGTTGTTTTTGCACTGAATTGTGCTTTAAAGGATCTCCTCGCTGTGTCTCAGTCTCATCAAGTTGACAACTGAAGTTAACCATTGTAGCCACGTTGCTTTTATCCTTTCTGTTTCTTCTAACTTTTTAAAAAAGATTCATCTTATTATCCGTGTGTGTGTGTGTGTGTGTGTGTGTGTGTGTGTGTGTGTATGTGTGTGTGTGACTGTGGATGCCCAAGTAGGCCAAAAGAGGGTGTTGAATCACTTAGAGATGGAGTTTCAGGTGGTTGTTAGTCATCTGATGAGGGTGCTAGCAATCCATTTTCTAGCCCCTCAAGAGCAGTGGTCACTGTTAACCATGATACCATCTTTCCAGCCCTTTCCTGACTATACATGTACTCTACCAATTAGCTAATCTCTAGCTCAGCCTTCCCAAAGACAATCTGTGTCCTGATACTTTGGCAGTATCTGAGACTATGACCCTGACCCTGGAAGTGAGAGGAGGAAAAGAACTCAGTGAGAGCTACGTTAAAGGGGGAAGAGAGAAACCTCAATGAAAACGGAGATCAAGTTTCTTATCTGTCTGATAGGATAAAGATCAGAGAGCAAGTTAACTTCCTTTAATGGGGGTGGGGCATCTCCTACACCTCTGTATTGATGACGTCACATGCAGAGCTTTTCCTGCAGTTGCTGCTGCGGAATGTAGTTCCTAAAAGAAGTCTGGAAGACGACCCTATGCAAAACAGAGCCTAGAAAGTCTGCAGCTACTTCTTAGAGCAGAAGTGGGACCTGTCCTTAAAGAGAACTCAGCAGAGATATGGCAATATCTCCAGTACAAAGAAAGGAAGACAGTTGCCCAGGAGACACTGGCACTTGGCACAGGATGAGACTGAACGCACTATTGAATATTTGGAATTCTGTTAATATGCAACATACACTTGAAATGTGTTTGGTTTATCTCCAGTTCAGAGGGAGTGGTCTTTACTTCTTTTCTAAAAAAATCTAATTTTAGAAAGAACTGGACAGATTCGAAGATAGGGCCTTTAACATGCTGTAAGACAATATTGGCTGTAAGAATAGTTTGACAATTTGCCCAGCATAGGCAAGGCCCTGTGTTGGCTGGTCCTCATCAATGGATAGATATTTTACTACTGTATAACAGTTACCCTAATGTTGAGTAAGTAAATTAACAGGAGAGAAATGCACTGCTTCTGAAGTGCAGTAGAGTTGTGGTGCTCTGCAACCTCAGGAGGCAAACCATGTGTCCTTGGGAACCTGGTACCCAATGGAACTGGATGGAAGACATTCCACAGTCAGTCCCTCATAGGAAGGCTATTGACAACAGCTCAATCCCTCATGCATGGGTCAGCACAGAGGCTACTCTAGTGTCTTCAGAACATGGCGTCCACCTTCCCCATGGTAGGCAATCTGCATGAAAGAGAAGACAGAAGAGAAAATCACAACTAGGGAAGTTTTATGTTCCATCACTCAGTTCTCTGACACCAACCAGCTATCTAACAGATCACTTCAACTCTGACACCAACTCACCAAGTCAACATAAAACCCAAGGTGAGCAATCACACCTATGTGACTAGTCCTGCTTCGGAAGCCACCCACACATGAGGCACTGGCCTTCGGAGAATCTCATACCCCTCTCCTCAGCCCAGCGTGTCTCTTCAGCAATTTGTTAAAATTACAGAGAGAGAGCATTCTTTATTTACTATTAGGAACAAGTGGAGGAGATGGGAGGTGGACTGAAGACTAAGGAGGAAGCATGCCTGTACTTTCTAGGTGTGCTAGCCCCCAGTGCCTCCATTGTGCATCTACCTGAACTCCCATGAGCCCCATTGCCCAGGTTTGGTTTACTAGATATTTTAGTACATCAGTATAATTTAATAGATCACCGATCAACAGTTATTAATTCAATCTCCAGCTGCTCACTCTCCCTGAAGGTTGAAAATGGGGCTAGAAGTCCCAAGCTCTTGACAAATGTCTGTTTGTGGACAGCCAATCCTCGTCATCAGGTTATCTGGGGCTGGCTAAAACTTATCTCATTATTCTGGAGGAAATGTCATTTATGGAGTAAATCCTCAGGACCCAGTCTGTTTAGGGAAGCAATTAACTATAGCCACAGAGGGTACCTGGGAGACAAGGATGAGATGCCCTCTATGGTATGAGAAGATAATGACCCAAGTGAAGGAAAGGAGAATTGAAGAGGAGGGTTTTTCCAGAGTTGGCTGCCCTGAGAATCCAGGCTTCCAAGAGCTTCCAAGAATCTTTGTTAGGTCATGGAACAAAATCCATTCTCCCTTTTTACTCCATAGTGCCATAATACCTTTTATGGCATATGCACCATCATTTCTGCTATATGGTATTGGTCACAAAACCTAAGTCTGGCATGACATAGGAGGGATAGAGGCCTTGAAAGCTGGCCGTACATCTACCATAAATTTTCTTCTTGTGTTTGCAGATGTTCCAAGGAAATCTGGCATCCTCCTGAGGAAGCTTTAAAAACAATTTTAAAAAATGTAAATTTTTGGTTAGATGATAAGATGCTACCCAATTACATCACTGTACTCTTGAAGTGCCCCTTGAATGTGTGAGTTGTGGAAAGAAAAGCTTAACCAGGGTCCTTCATTGGAATTCTCTGGCTTAACTGTGCCCCACTCAAACTTCTCAAGGCATCCCTAATGATGAGAAAATCACTAAGCACAAGCCATGGGCCTGGCCTCTGACATGCTTTTGCCAAGTTGTGCCAGGACCTAATTGTAGCTGAAGTTTTCCTATGTCTCACCTGGTCCGCAGTCAGGACAAATCTGTCACCCGCCAGTTCCGCAGCCACTCAGACCCAAGTAAACACACAGAGGTGTATATTATTTACAAACTGTATAGCCATTAGCTCAAGCTTATTACTGACTAGCTCTTACACTTAAATTAACCCATAATTCTTATTTACGTTTAGCCACATGGCTTGGTACCTTTTCTCAATTCTGCCTTCACACCCTGCTTCCTCTGTGTCTGGCTGGCGACTCCTGACTCAGCCTTCCTCTTTCCAGAATTCTCCTTGTCTCTTATCCCACCTATACTTCCTGCCTGTCTACTGGCCAATCAGCATTTTATTTATCAACCAATCAGAGCAACACAGTCACAGCATACAGAGCGATGCTACCCATCACATAATATCCAAGACAAAGAGATGATGTGTACCATGCCTTCTGGCACTGAGATATACATGATTCTAAGAAAACACAAAATTGTATGATACTTTTAAAAGGTCCTGTTCTTGATACTTTCAAAGGGGAGATGCCTCGATTGGTAAAATGCTATGTAAACATGAGGACCTGAGTTCATATCCCCAGCCCCCTTGTAATGCCGTGTACATTGTTATGTGCTGTACTGAGAAACAGACAGGTAGACACTGGGGGCTCATTGGCCATCCAATCTAGTCAAGCAAGTCAGTTTCAGTTTCAGTAAGAGATCCTGATTCAAAAAAAGGAAGTAGTAAAAGGATTGAGGAAAGACATCTCAATGTCTCCCCTTGTCCCCAGTGTCATCCTCTGTTTTGTTTTATTTGTTTGTTTTTTATTAACTACATGGGCAAAAATGTGCACAACATATAAGAGAGGGATGGGACAGGGAGAGGGGTACAAAGACAGATGGAAGACCTCACTAAATATTTTGTGCTACCATTGAGGTCAAGAGACTGAGAAAAGTTTATTTATGGAGATAAAAAGCATACAGATCCCTGCCATATCCTATTTTCCCGTAATTCCATATATCAAAAGTCAGACAAGGTCTAAAATTACTGAACTGAAAATTCTAGGAATGAGTCAGTCATAGCATTAAACTGCCCTATTCTAAGTAGCATGATGACCCCTTCTGCTATCTTGCTCAAATTCAACCAGGACATGAATTGCTTCTTTGTCCAGTGTATGTCCAGTCCAGTGCATCCACCTTATATCTATTACCCTCACGTTAATTAGTCAGCAGTCCTCAACTTTTAGATCAACTGTCGATTTACTACAGTGCTTATCTTCAAGCAATCCTTATTTACTTAATAATATCCCCAAAGCACAAGAGCAAGGGCTTCTGGGAATTCATGGGTAACAGAAGAACCTGGAAAGTGCTTCTTTTAAGGAAAAAAAAAGAAGGGGAAATAGTCTCAATTTTATAAGGAAATCAAAGCAATTGTATGAGGAATTATCTAAGATCTAAAATATTGTTGTTGATCTCTTATGGTGTCTAATTTATCAGTTGAACTTTGTCAAAGGTTTATATGTATAGGAAAAAAATAGCACAGAGTGTTTGGTACTATTTTAATGTCACATGCCTCTGAGATTCTAGAGTTTCCTCTGGACAAGTGGATCCTACTGGATGTTAAATGGTACCTGATGCCCCCACTCAATCACCACATACTCTAATGGATTCTATAATGGTTTCAGCTATACAGTGCCTTAGAACTTACCATATGGGCAGACCACAGGTCATGCAACAAATAAGAATAAGCAATCTTAGACATTTCCACTCTCTTTATTTTAGATAAACTAAGGCCTCTTAAGGCAAGTGACTGTATCAAGGTTATAAGTACAGCTAGGAGCAGCAACAACTGGAATTGTGAAGCACTTGAATCATGGTCCCTTTCTACCTGCTCACCCAATGGTGAGGTTGGCACAATATTCCTTTGTCATTATAAGTAAACATCTACTTATCTTTTATTTAAAACAAACAAACATGTAGTTTGTTTGGAGCAGAGTCCTGCTGATTTAGAGGAAAGGTGCTAAGGTTCTCAGAAAAATATTTTCACTGAGGAAGACATGCTTAATAGGAAGCCATTCCCATTCAGTGTGTCTTGCAGACAAACAACGCTGTACTTATAAGCAGCTTCCTTGCAGATGCAGGACATAGGGAGAGGGGTGCATTGACATCACACTCTGACCTGCTGAGGGCTGATGAAGATCTGGAAGGAAGGCACTAGTGTTTGAAGAGAGAAACTGGAAAATACGTGATCGTTCTACAGTCGGGCAAGAGTGTAGAAGATGCCAAGCACATGCAGAGCTTCTGCCAGACATTTCTCTGACTGCTGTTTTTCTGGGGGATTTCTCTGTTTTAGTTCTTTTCAGGGCTCCTTGCACTGTTAAAATTTGGCCTCAGAGAATGTAGTATATTCTACCCACAAGACTATTTAGAACTTCTCCAGTTTACATGTAAACAAAGCCTGGAAAGGCTGTCTGTGTGCCAAGTGGGAGAAGACTTGGATTCTCTGCCATTTCCTTAAAGGACCACTGCAGTAATCTTACTCAGATGATGTAGTCTGTAGTCCACAAGTTACTGATCCATGAACTGGCTTCCTCGTGCTTGGTCTCTAGCCATTGTCATTCCTAGATAATAGGTGACCCTTTAGACAAGAACTCGACTCATTCCTGTCCTGGGGGTTGTTTTCCCTGCAGAGAGGAATGTCCATCTGTAGACGAATGTGAGAAAATGAATTTCCTCTGCACCTCCTCTGACAAACAGGGAAGAGTTCTCAAATACCAGATTTAGGAGATTTCCATTCAGATTGCAATGCCACTGACTATTACCGGGAAAGAGGATGGTATGATATGTTTTACTTTTCCCTTTTATTTCTTTCATCATTTATTTCAAAATAACAGGTTTTCAAGAATTCACAAGTATCAAACAAACCTCTCGTGTTGGGTATGAACTCGTATTATTATTTCTAATGAGTGGCTATTACCCACAAATAGTAGAAGTCCCTTAATACAAAGTCTCTCTGTGTCTACATTCACGAAGACTTAGTGCCCATGTCCTACCTTCTGGCATCTCAGCACCCTTGTGTTTCTGGTACAACTGAATGAACTCTGCACCCTGAGTCTGAGCCTTTCCCCTGGAGATCCACTATACTCTAAGAATCTCCTCTAAGAGAACACTGTGTGTCATATGAAAATCATTATAGAATACATTTGCTCTTCCTCTCACTAAGGGACACTATGTTTTTGCTTGTCTGTATACTTGTATTTTATTTGGATTTATACTTTTATTTTTTAGAAAAGGGCAGATAGTTCAGGATTTCATCTGTTCTTCATATATTCTTCAAGCTCGCATCAACCCTCAATGCAGTATTTTAAAATAAAACTGTGAATTTTCATTGACTGTCAGGCATAGGATGTCCAAATGGCTACTTAAATCATGCTAGATGGAATCACGTAACACATAGCTTGGAATAGCCACAAGATTTGTAATCACACCTATATGTCTACACATACCTTCATAGTCCATCCCCTATAGCTTAAAAAAGAGTGAAATGTTTTGAAAAATAAAACAAGAAGGTTGATAATGAGAGAAGCCGGCATATGCAAAGAGCCTATACTAGGAACCTACATCATAAGCCTACACCTTAGGCCTACACCATGAGTCTACTCCATGCTTCA